ATGTACATTTTGAAAGAAACATAGGGAGAACAAAGAAGGGGCTTTGAGTAGCTAATGGACACCATAGAGACTGGGGATACCTAATGATGAGAAGCACTTCAGATACTGTACCTATTTCCCAATTTTGCCTAGGGTTAGTCTTCAACAGAAGGCCTTTCCAGTCCTCCTAAGGTTCTCTCTCAAGCTTTCTGTTGCTCCTGCTCTCCACAGCGCACCAGCTATTCACATTGTGGTTATTAAACACTGGAGCCATTTTGACAGCAACATCTTCGGAAGTAGCAATCAAATGTTTTGAGAATAGGATTAGCTTAAAAAAAAAATATGACTACATCAGCAATTCTAGCACTTTTGCTGGTTAGCACCAGCAAAAGAGAATACCAAGGAAAAAGGTGGAGTAGAAAAGCAAGGCTTATAAAATTATGCAACTCTAGGACAGATGCTCCAACATATTTTCTAACTATAGATCTTCTTTCTCAACCTTACATTGTATCATAGGTTATCTTATGATTTAAGAAGATTCTGGCTATCATAACAACCCCCAAACTCCTGTAGTTTAACAGAAGAAGAATTCATTTGGGGCTCACTGAAGAGGTCAGTGAGTGCCCATTAGGAGGAAGCTTCACACCATGTTGTCATTCAGGGTCCTCTTTGCCATCTTCTTGAGGGAGGAAAAGTTACAACCACAATATCATAGCAGATGTGACCTTGTCCCAGATGCAACCCATATCACTAACAACATCATATACTATTGATAACTATTAGTCTCACAGCTTCACCAACATACAAGGGTGGTTGAGAAATAAAGTTCTTGTTTGAACAGCCCCTTCTTGGCTATCACTTTATATGGTGAAAAAGCAAATACTGATTTGGTTGGAAACTACTTATCTTTATAGAATGAGCATCATGTAAATTTTAAGGGCAAACAATGATGACATGGGAAGAAATCTTATTGCTCAAGGGAATTATCCCATTTTATTTCATCTTATAGGCAAATTAATGCAGATTTGATAGATGAATTATGAAGCTTGAAACCAAATGGTAGTTCTCTCACAGGGGCTTTGTCCCCACTCTTATCTCCTAAACTGCCCCATCAGCAAGTCCTGGCTCTGAGAGTAAGATGTGTTCCCCATTAGAACTTGACTATAAATCCCCAGAGGTTTTCTAAATCACAGTCAAAATTGAGTTTTGGCTTTGAAGTTATAGCACATCTTAGTGGGATCTATAAAATCTACCCTCAAAATCTATTTGTTAATGTTTTATTTCCAATGTTTGAGAAAACTATGTGACTCTATGTAAACTTGAACAAACTATCAGTTGGCTAAGCTAAGATTTTTTTAAATTAAATGTCTTTCAGGAGATTAGGCTGAATTTGCATCTGACTGATCACTGCATTAGTTGTATATTATGTGAATTAGCTACAGATAGGGTGTTTCATTATAAAACTCCTGTTTAAATTAGTATATTTTCATGACACTAAATTTTAAATCTCCAAACTATAAAGCCAGTTGCTATAGAGAAACACTTAGGTTTACTTAAAGACAAAGCAACTAACTGGAAATGAATTTAGTTGAAAAGAGGGCTCTGGATGAGAGCCAGGCGATCTTATTTCAAATCCTTATTCTTCTATCCTTACAATTTCAGCTAAAACAACTGAATGAAACTTGATTTCAATCTGAAATGGGGATACTGCTCTAAAGATTCTAGTTATTAGAAACTAGGTTCACAAATTCTACATTTCATCATATTTTGTTTTTAAGGAGGCCATAAAGAGCATAGCACAAAATTTATTCTGCTAAAAATTAAGTTCACTTATATTTTTTGAAACTCTTGTTTTTTTGTGCTTATTTCAAGGAAAATATGAGCAGAAATTAAGATTTCATTGGCTTTTCATTCAGATGTTCATTCAGATAACCGGGCTATCCTTACTGAAATGTAATTATATCTACCCATTCAGAGTATGATGTTCAAAACAGGTTGTCCTAGAAGTGCTAGGGAACAGACAAACAGGGCAGAGGGAAAAGTGAAGCATGAAGAAAGAATAAATAGTCTCCATGATAATAACAGCAGAGGTCTCCAAAAGGTGTAGAAAGCTAAAATAGATAGATAGATAGATAGATAGATAGATAGATAGATAGATAGATAGATAGATAGACAGTCAGACAGACAGACAGACAGACAGACAGACAGACTGGTAGAACACATGCAATGGTAAGCCTAGTGCTCCCTGAATGGTATATATGAGGATGCCACTGGGCATCTGCCAAATTCTCCCTTTTAATATTTCCAGATCCTACTGAAATTAAGATCAGCAACAGCCAGGTAGCCTCGGAGTCAGGGGACAGCATACATACTTGCATGCATAAACTTGAACGCACTTATATTTCTGGATGTTTCTGAGTGGACAGAGCTGAAAAACTGCAAGCTGCCTTGACCTCAAGGCTGAGGAAGCCCTGAAAACAAACCTACTGTCCAGTGACAGTAATTACGAATAGCCAGGGGGAGGCCAGGCAGCACTGATCTTTTCTCACCTGCTGGGCTGGAGCTGCTGAGACCAGAAGGGATCTCAGAGCTCAAATAACCTGCTAGTGGAGCTGAGTCATCCGCCCACAGCCCTAGTGCTCAGCTGCCCCAGAAAGGCCCACAGATAGTCTAGCTGAGCACTGACTTTCAGTGGGAGCCTAGATTTCAAAGGACCCCTCAGTGCAGAGGAGAGCAGAGGTTATTTGCCTGGCATAGCTTAATCTTTTGAAAAGACTGCCACTCTAACTTCTAAATTTGCCAGCAGAGGATTCAACCCATATAGGACATGCACAGAGCTAAGAACACCATAAGCAATGCTCTGAAGCCTGGACATGCATTCACAGCTACAGCTTTCCGTTCCCTCAGCCCCTCGGCAGATATGCGGTCAGTCAAGTCCTAGAAGTTGTACTTGTCTCTCAGGTTTACTAAGGACAAAAATAAGCCTGCAAGTTTTCAAATTTTCTCTTCCCGTTCAACCCTCATACTCATTTTTGGAATAAACTCTGTGTAAGTATGTGAGTGTGTGTGTGTGTGTGTGTGTGTGTGTTGGAATAAGGGCTTAAATTCAGGGCCTGGTCACTGTTCCTTAGTGCTTTCACTAAAGACTGGCATTCTACAAATTGAGTCACAGCTTCACTTTCATGTCATTTTTTGGTGCGTGTGTGCATGCGTGTGTGCATGTGTGTATGTAGTTAATTAGAGATAAAGGGTTTCACAGACTTTCCTGCTGGGGTCTGGCATCAAACCTCAATCCTCAGATCTCAGTCTCCTGAGTAGCTAGATCGCTGGCTCCAGGCTAGAACTAGCATATTTGAATAGCATGTTGTGACTATTTCAAGTATATTAGGGACTAAGATGGAGACACATGCCTATTACAGTACAGAGACATGAACATGCAATCATTACAACTCAATATTAACTGATTCAGACCCAAGGGTCTGAAGTTGTTCAACCTAATACTGTTGCCCTGGTTTCTTGAGAGCTGCAGAGTGCTTTACCACTATAGTCAGAGATGGCAAGAAGCCAAATTAGTGTGAAATTTTACCTCACGAACACCATCACTATTAAATATTCTACCTATTGCATGCACTCAGGGAAAGTTATTTAGGAAATCAAGAGTCAGGTGAATACAGATGTAGCTCAGTGGTAGAGCACTTGCCTGGCATGTGCAAATTCCTGCTTTCAATTCCCAGCACAACAAAAGAAGAAGAAGAAAAAAAAAGAGTCAACTCTGTCAGGCTCAACAGCAATTCTACTCACATACAGATTCTCCACCAATCACATAGCAGGGTTTTCTTTTTATTTCATTCCCCTCTCCATGTTAATTTTAAAGAATCTAGATGCTAGATTACAATCTATAATAAGGGAGATTTTTTTCCCTCTGTGTTTATATGAAGCACTTTAATTGCTAGTAACATCACCCAAGTTAGCAAAGTGAGGAAAGAGGGTGTACACTTGAAATCATTTATCTTCAAAAAGCAAAATACTTGTAAAGAAGCAAAATGTAGAAGAGATTGGGTGGGAGGGGACCGGGAAGGAAGTTGCTCATGAGTGCTTGCTTTCAAGTTCTACGGGGAGTTCTCTACTCAAGAACTGGACAGAAGTCCTCTGTCTTCACCCAGCATAGTCCATGAACAAACACAGAAGGAGCCAGACCACATTTACTTATAGGATTCTTGGATTTCATTCCTGACACAAACTGCAACCAACTGCTGTTAGTGATTTGGGGAGCAGGAGGAAAATATCCTAAATACATATACATAGTGTCTGGACACTAATAACTTCCAACTGTCATTCATTTGAAGGTCTCTTATGGGCAGAAATAAAAATGAAATTAATATTAAGATATAAATGATTTTAAAATTTTCATTTAAAGATTTAATAAAAATGAATCAATAATTATATGTTGCTTTGGGGTAGACAGAAAAAATTGTGGGACCAACTTTAGACAGTGTTGTTTTCCTGACTGTTTGAGACAGAGAAATCTTATCATCATCCAGGTGTTTTGTTCTTTAGGTAAGAAGAAGAATGGAGCTGACCTAGTGTGCGGCCTATTTAAGAAAAAAACCCCTTTGGTTGGCAAAATGAAACCTTAGTAATGGGGGGTTTCAGCCTGGAGGGACCTAGCCACTCCCAGGCTTTGAGGAGGTAGGAAACAGGAAGTTAGGCTGGACAGAGAGGAGAAAATCGTCTCTTTCCAGCTCTGGCATGAAAGGAAAGACACAATCCTCCATTGGATGTTCTCAGAGGGTTCACAAAATGGCTTAGTATTAAGGGTGCTTAGGTTCAGTGTGCTATGTCTCAGCTACCAGCGTTTTTCTCTTCTCCTCTACCAGCGCTTGATGGTTCTGGGGTTTCTGTGTGACCAGCATGGGGTCAGCTCCAGGACTCAGCCTGGATGGCCTTCCTGCTGATACCCCAGGGTGGCCAGCCACTCACCGGGCAACCCCGCTGCTTCAAGCAGAGAGCTATGGCTTTACCTTTTTGCTTATTGAGGAGCTGCAGCAGCGAGGGTGCCATGCCAAGACCTGGAGGCGCAGGGACCTGCGGGGCTGCGGGGCTTTGGTTGGAGCTCGCTGCTGTTTCTGCGGGTTTCCACAGCAAGGTGGGCTCCTCCGGCTCGGGGGCTTGGTCTGCAGAAGACGGCTCGGGGCTGGTGTGGGGGTCGGTGGAGGGGAAGTGGAGGAAGGGGTCGGGCTGCGCAGGGCCCTGCGGGCTGGGCGTGCGCTCCTCCGTGCGGGCGCAGGTCTCCTCCCGGATGGCATCCAGGGCAGCTGGCTTCACGGGGGGCGAGTCCTGCTCTCTTTTGGGGCTCTCCTCGGAGGCGGAGGAGGCATCGCAGGATTCGATGATGAGCTCGCTGTCCAGCTCGGCCTCGCGCTCCTCCCGCAGGATGCTGTACTGGATGGACGGGGATGCTGGCGAGGGGGGCGGCCCGGCCACGTGGCCGAAGGTCACATAGCTGGAGGGCAGCGCATCTTCGGCGGCCGTGGGGTCCTCTGACACCAGCTCAATTTCCGAGTCTCCCGACTCAGCGCTGCTCGCCTCCTGGTCCAGAGGGCTGGGGATGGTGGGCAGCCCAGACCTGGCCTTGGGCTCCCCTCTGTCGGCCACCGGCCCCACCGGCCGTGGGCTCTCTGCCGTTTCATAGGATAACCCTTTGGCTTCTTTAATGGCAGTGATCAACTCATCCTCAGAGATGCTGCATTTCCCCTGGGACTCCGCAACAGATGGTTCTGTCATCCCACAGCGCCAAGAAGAGTCAGAGAGGCGCACACACAGACAGACGGACAGATGGACACAGAGAGAGGAAATACAACAAAATTTCATTAGGGGAGATGTCTGGTGGTTGCCTGAGGAATACATATCTCATTAGCACAAAAATAAGTCTGTTTCTAGGACTGTGCTGGAGAGGCAGGCCACCTGAACTAAAAGGCTAATTATCGTGGTGGCCCAGTTAATCAGTGTTATGCGTACCTACCCATCTTCATCTAGCTACCTAAAAAGACCCAGCAATTTCATAGCAACAGAGATTTGTTTTTGTTTTTCTTTTTTCTATTTCAATGCAACAAAGATGGTAGAAGTCATTTTTATGACTTTTATGGGGTGCGGTAGGGGGTTTAGTTTTACAGATTTCATTGGGTGATCTGTGCAATACATCTACAAATATGAGAGTCATTCATCATTCCAAGTCCATGGCTTTACAGGCTTTACCAAGACAAAGATGGGTAATTTGGCGCCTTGGGTACAACTTAACTTCTGAACTTGACTTTATTCCTTTTGAGTAAGAAAAGTGCAGCTAGATGGAGTAAGTAGGAGGTATTGTTTCTTTGCTAATCCCCAAAGCAGGCTGTATAGATTACCATCAGGTACCTTCCTGCAGGGCTTCCAACAGCTCCTGCTGCTCACCATCTCCCTTCCCCTCCTCTTGAGAAGAAAATAGCAGACAGCCACCCCACTCCCCTGGGTGAATGCTTGCCTTCCGCCTGATGTTTATCCAGATGGCCTGAAGGCCATATACTGGCAATCTTGCTGAGCTTTTTCTCTCTTGGATGCAACTAGCCTGAGATCACCATGACAACAGTGTTGGTCTGCCTGGCCATAGAGCAGGGATTTATTTTAGAATATCCTTGACACTGGTCTCCAGGCCTTTTGTGAACAAGAACTAGTTGTTCAATGCTTTCTCAAAGTGCTGAGGCCAGCAGGAGGATCTAGGGAGGTAAGAGGAGTAGATTATCTGTGGCTACATCATGGGCTGCCTTAAGAATGTGGAGGACCCAAGGGATCAAATATTTTAGAGTTTCTAATTCCTTATAAAGAAATCTTTCATTCGTCTATTATTTATGGAGACTCTACTATGTCTTGGGTCCTCTTCAAGGTACTTGGAATGTATTAGTGAATGAGACCGATCACCAAATTCCTGCTTGTACTCTAATAGGAAAGGTATGCAATATATAATGAATATATGTAATAAATAAGGAAAGCATCTAGTGTTTTAGCTAAGTAAAGCAAGGGTAAAGGAATCAGGAGTTAAGAGTAAAGTTGGGTCAGGGAATTGGGATCAGAGACCTGGGACCAGTTGGTCTGAGGTTGTAGCTTTAAAAAGTAGGGAGGCTGGAATAGGCCTCAGGAAGAGGTGAACCAATATTAGCACTCAAAGCAAGTGTGTGAGTGACTCATGAAGACTGTCAGAGAAAAAGCACGCCACGCGAAAGGAACAGATAGATGGAACAAAGGCAGAGTGAGGGGAGTTCCAATGATTTCCGGGCTAGACAGGAGGTTAGTGTGTCCTGAGCAAGGGAATAGGGAGGCAACTGATAAAAAGAAGTGAGGGACACGGCAGTTCAGATCTCAGGGGCTATTATTCTGAGTGAAAAGAGAAATTATTGGCGGGCTCTGAGGAGCTCAACTTCTTAAGTATCTTAAAACAGCATCATTATCTCAGATAATCATAAATTTATTGTATGAACTCAAACTTTACTTTTGTAGCAATTGGCTATTTAATAAGCTGCACACACAGTTCTGTGTTATGATTTCCAGCAGCATAGCAGTGCAAAAGTTAGATCAGCTTCCTTTGGAATGGTTAGCTACAGCAATGAAGAGGAAGACAAGGAGGAGAGGCCATTATCAACTAAGCAGCCATCTGTACTTCTGCAGAGCTGTAAATGACAGCATCCGCAGCTCCATCTGCTAGTCTCTCTTGGGTAACAGGCACTTTACATGTAGAGCTTGAAGTCTAGACAGGGTAGGTGAAACAAGTGTCTAGTGTCACGGACTGGTTTTTCTCTCTTTGCCACCCAGAATCCATTCTCAGTTTTCTTTGCGCTGTTCTGCATATCATACATGCTCCTTTCTCCTCTGGTTTCTATCCACAAAACAAACTTAAACATGAATGTTTCTAACAGCAATATTCATTAGAATCAACCAAAGTAGGAATAACCTCATATCCCTTAAAGAAGGGGTAAATAAAATGTAGTACATTCCTACAACAGAATATTATGGTACCATACAAAGGAATGAAGTACAGATACATGATCAAACAACTAAACACAGTATACTAAGCAAAATAAACCAGTCACAAAGAACTATACATTAAGATATTACAGAGAGCAGGAAGTTGATTAATAATTGTAAGGAAATCGAGAGTAGAGGGTATCCAAATGGGACACAGAATTTCTTCTGTGGTAAAGAAAATGCTATAAAATGTATTGTGATGATAGCTCAGAAGTCTATTAAGACCTCACTAAAGCTGTTGGGTTTTTTTAAAGACAGAAAGACCCTTGGCTCTGATCTTCACTTACAGATTGGCACAGCTTATATCCAAATGAGTGTCCCATGGGTGAGAAGTAACTTTAAATTATCTGAAGCCACCAGAATTGAAGGAATATCTGAATTTGAATAAATACCCCAAATTCTGACCTCTGTGAGTTCTCATCCCCTGTGACCTCTCAACAGTATCTGATATGTTGTCCATTCCTCTGAAGGTTTTGCAACACTATTCTCTTCTGATTAAACGCCTAGCTCTTTTGACTTCAGTCATTGCCTTCCCAAGCCAAGCATCCTCCCAGGAGCTCTGCCCTGGGCTTCTTTTCTCCCCACCTCCTCCATCTCTAGTCTCAGTTCCAATCACTGTGCTGGTGTTCCACAGCTTCCTCTACCCTATAGAGTAAGAAGAAAACAAGACAAACCAGACAGAGTGGTACCAAGTTCCGGAGAAACTTGGAGGGGGTAACTGAAGAAGGTGCATTGAAATTGGTCTCAAAATGTAAACAGAGCCATGAAAGGCAGACATTGTCTCAGAGTGGATCCGCTGGGCAAAGATTCAGATATGAAACAGGAAAGGGTGTGAGTCAAATGGCGGCTATAACAAAAGTTGAGCTGGAGTATTGTGGGGAATGATGCAGGGTATTGAAAGGATGGAAAAGGTAAATAGGGCATGGGAGTTCCCAAACGCTCGTTTTAAAAGTCAGCACTGGTGGGTTCTGCAAGAGCAAGAATAAACCTGACAAAGGAGTGGAGGGGGGTTGACCCATGAAGAGGATATTGCTATCATTGAGAGAATAAAAAATGATAACCTGAGTTTTGGTGCCCAGGGGATTGAAAGGGGACAATTCAAGAAGAATTATTGAAGAAAGAGAAATAAGAGACAAAGGGTCTAATTCATATGGTAGGTGAGAAAAAGAAGAAATGCTAAGCCTAAAATGAGCAAGGGTTCCATAGCTTGAAGCATGGAAGTCAAACAAAGATCTGGTCTGATGGACAGGAGGAGAAAATTCTTATACTGGGTGTGTCTTTCCTTCCTGAGGTATGCATCCTTCTAGGAAGCCTCTCAACATGAATGCTGGGATGGACCCAGCTCCTGCCTCCACAGCATTGGTAGGGAAGTGAAAGAAAAGGGACTGATGAGTTCCATTTTGGACAAGCAAAGATGTGACTTTAAAGTGCTGATTATGAGTCAAAGGAAACTTGGAGCCAGGTGCCAGTGGCTCAGGCCTGTAATCCTAGCTAGTCAGGAGGTTGAGATCTGAGGATCATGCTCTAAGCCAGTCTGGGCAAGAAAGTTTGTGAGCTTCTTCTTTACAATTAGCCACCAAAATGCCAGAAGTGGAGTTGTGGTTCAAGTGGAAGAGTGCCAGCCTTGAGCAAAAAAGCCAAGCATAAGTACAAGACCCTGCATTCAAGACCTAGAACTGGTGGAAGCAAGGAAGGAAGGAAGGGAGGAAGGGAGGGAGGGAATCAAGTAGAATGATGTATCCGTTGTTGCAGGTAATTATGATGCTATAAATGAAAAGGGAAGGCTGTTCCACCCCGTTGCACGTGCTGGTGTCCATCTGTGAATGATGGTATCTTTTAGCTCTCCCTTTGTTTCTGGCTTTTTTTCTACACATCATGCAGAGGGATCACTTGAAACCTTTTCCAGCTTCCCATTCTGGCCACACTGGCATTCCAGGTATTCCCTGAACACACACAACATACTCAGCTTAGGGCCTTTGCATGGCTGTCCCTGTCGATTGATACCTTTTTCCAGTTACTTGTGTGGCTTTTCTCACGCTCCATTCAGGCCTCTAGCTTGAAGAAACTTGTCCTTGCTATTTACCTCTCTACCTCATGTTGCAGGCTGGGACAAGTCACACCTAGTTTCAGTTAGATTCACAGATTACTTGCTATCTCTCGGCATTCAAATCCCAGTAGTATTTTACATGCAGGTCACTGTGCCTTCATACTTCCATCTGTGCACCTCTTCCTACTCCTTTGAGGGCCACCTTCAGTCTCTGTTATCTGGGGAGCTATTGAACTCAGATTTTTTTTTTTGGTCGTGGGGCTTGAATTCTGGTCCTAGGTGCTGTCCCTCAGCTCTTCAGCTCAAGGTGAGCACTCTACCACTTGAGCCACAGCGCCATGTCCATGAACTCAGGTATTCTTGGCACTTTATGTTTCCCTTTCTCAGAACACAAATCACACCAGAGTAGGGCCCTTCTCTTCATTATCTGCCTCACTGAAGGGGAATGGCTAGTTTTTGTTTTAATTTCCATATCACCAGTGCCCCTGGTGATATGACTGACCAAGAAAAATTTGCAGTGTTTGTTGAGTGAATGAATTAATTTGAAAATCAGGGATCTGGGTGCGATGAACCCTGGGAGCTCTACCGTTGTACCTCTGAGGTAACCTCAGAGAAGAGTAAGCCTTGTGCTCATCTTTAGGGAAACAGAAAGAGGAGAGACTTTCATTAAGCCTGCTGTTCTAAAACAAGGCTTTAGAAATGCTGACTTGCACTTGGTAGGGTTATAATCCCAGCCATAGAGGGTTTAGGAAGAGTCCAGGCATTCTTAGTCATTTGTCTAGCCGCTCCATGGGCAGTGATGAGTAGGGTCAATGGTGTGGCGAAAGATGTGTTGTGGAGGTGGATGAAGCTTCTGACACCACCCTGCCCTTTTACAGGGGTCTACATGGTCCCTTTTGTGTTTGAAACAACAATTAGAATCTAGTTTAACATCCTGCCTTGAGTCCGTGCAGGACAATATCAAGTTTTTAAAAGGCCATGCCTAGTGAGGTCAAAAGTTTTTTTTCTTTTCCATTTAATTCTCAACAAATAGATCTTTTTTTTTTTTTTTTTTTTTGTTGGTAGTGGGGCTTGAACTCTGGGCTTGGGCGCTGTCCCTCAGCTCTTCAGCTCAAGGTGAGTGCTCTACTACTTGAGTCACAGCACCACTTCTGGTTTTCTGAGTTGTTTATTGGAGATAAGAATCCCAAGGATTTTCCTGCCTGGGCTGGCTTTGAATTGCCATCCTCAGATCTCAGCCTCCTGAGTAGCTAGGATCAAGGTGTGAGCCACCGGTGCCCAGCTCACCAAATATATCTAATAGTAGAATTTCAACGTAATTAAGCTGATAGGGCTAAGATCGAAGGGAGGAGGAGGAGTACCCTTCGTTGATGTTGCCTGGGATGACAGTTTTACCTTCTCTCTACCTCTTCTGGGAACGGCTCAATGTCCCTGCCAATAAAGTCCAGTCAGAAGTGCTCTCTTCTCCAGTGAGACTTCCAGGAGACTGGGACATTAAGTGGGAAAGCAGAGCTACATGAGGGTGTAGGTGCTTCAGTGTGTAAGCCTTACCTCCCCCATCCAAGGAGAAAGAAACCCTTTACAAAGTAAATCCAACAAGAGTTGAGAGGGAAATCCTGCATCTCAGCCTTTGTACAACAGGCTCAGGCCTGAAAGAAGTTGCACGGTAATTAAATTAGTTACACTGAATAACACTGCAGGAGCCCCCAGTCAAGCATGTTGAATGCCTCCTTCTCTAGGAAGTGCTTTGGGAATTCCATGTCCAAATGCTAGGCTTCCTGGGGTGGGGGGGGGGGGGCGGGGAGGGCGGGGAATACCAGTGCGGTTACCTGTTCCAGAAGATGGAGGAGTGACAGATCCGGGGCTGTCGTCTTCAGGCTCTGAGACGGTGACAGTGGGGACTGTGTCAGGACTTGGCTTCAGGCAGAGATCTTGCTTCTCGGGGCTCTTTTCTTGGATTGCAGTTGCGGTTGCGACAGAAGGTTCGATCTCGGTCAGTGTGATCTTGATGGGGGCACTGATCAGGGGAGCGCTGTGCTGCTCCTGGGAGAGATCATCTATGTAAGGAGCAAAGGTCGACTCTTCAAACAAGTGGTCCTTGACGATCTTTCCCTCCACAGGAGCTGGTTTGTCAGGTTCCCGAATCCCTCCTGGTTTTGTGGAGATGTCACTGTCCTTGTTCTTAAAGTCAAAGTCTTTATTTCCCGGCTCAGGCTGACGATGCTCCTGACATTTCACCTCCTCCGGCCTTGCAATGTCAATGTACTTACAGGCTTCTGCTTTCATCTGGTCCAAGGGCTCTGCTAGAATCTTGTTCACTTCAGTGGACTCAGCGGGAGTCATCTCTATTCCAGAATCGGAACTCAACAAGCCATGAGGCTCCATCCCAGGCACATCTGGTAAGGGGGGTCGAGGAGACCCCAGCTCCTCGGGGCTCTCTGAACTGGTGATGTGGCCATTTTCCTTCTGAAAACTCCCAGTGAAATATGTCGCATCCTCATGGGGCGAGGTGCGCATGTCAGAAATCAGAGATGTGTAACATGCTCCTTCTTCATCCTTTGGCGTCATTGTAAAGGAGTGATCCAGGGAGATCGCAGCCACACCTGTCAATCAAAATGGCAGCAGACTGTGAATGGGTACTTCACTGCAGATCTCTCTCCTCCCCGCCCCACCAACCAGCATGCCCAATGCGGACTTGGAGCACCAGCATGCTGAGTTTCTCTGACCTTCCACAGCTCTAATACTTTCCAGGGGGCAGACGCCGCAGCTCACACAAGCTGCCAGGCCCAGACATGCTGAGGACAGATCCAAGGGGACTAGAAAACTGCTTTTTGATACATACTACCTCACCACAGAGGGTCTTAACTTAACTCAGTGTAATTTAAAAGAACCCTTCTGGACAATAGGGGAGCTCTATGTTTAGTCTTTTGTGGAACCTCCATACAGCTTTCCAGAGTGTTTGAACAAGTTTACACTGCCACCAACACTTTTGGGCATTTACCCAGATGACCACAAACAAGGCCATACTAAAGCTACCTGCACAACTATGTTTATTGCAGCATTATTTACCATAGATAAGATATGGAACCAACCCAGATGCCCTTCAGTAGATGAATGGATCAAGAACATGTGGTATATATACACAATGGAATTCTATGCCTCCATCAGAAAGAATGACACTGTCCCATTTGTAAGGAAATGGAAAGACTTGGAAAAAATCATATTCACTGAAGTAAGCCAGACCCAAATAAACATAGGTCCTATGGTTTCCCTTATTTGCAATAAATACTAAATGTCTAGAATAATCCTAGCAGATGAGTAGAATAGCTCAGTAGCTACACAATACAACCATATAATATGATGCTAAGTGAAATGAATTCCAAGACATGGAGACAAGAGATTTTTCTTTGTTTTTGTTGTTTTTAATGTACTAAGTGATTTCTTGTGTCTTTTGTATGTTCTTCCCTTGATGGTATATCCCCTGTTGTCACTGTATGTCATTTTGGTACCTTGGTTTTGTATACACGTTTATCTGAATTAGGGAAGGGAAGGGAAACAACAGAATGGTGAGACAAAGGACAAGGGTGAACCAATGCAACAGCTACATTCACAAGACACTATGTTGGAACTGATCTTACAATGTGGGGGGGGGGGGCTTTGGGAAGGGAATAACAAGTTTGACAAGAAATGTACTTATTACCTTATGTAAGTGTAACCCCTCTATACGCCACCTTGACAATAAAAAGTTTTTATGAAAAAAAGAACCCTTCTTTGCATCAACAGTCTTAATGGCCCTTGAAGCAGAGGTGGACATGTAGATAAATCCAGGTTTGTAAATGCAGAAGTGGGTAATGGGCTGGGAGAGGGGCTGCTCTTGGAGGCTCATACACCTGAGAAATCTCTCAAGACCTTCTCTGGTCAATCCTTCTACTCTTGGAGTCATCGTTCCTTTGGATTGAGCCCATCCATTTTCACTTTTCAGGTCCTCAGAGAAATGGGCTTGTAGTTTTGAGTCACTCAAGAGGCATCAGCCTAATGGCATGCTTTCCTATTCCCTCACTTTCTCCCTCATTCTGTCCTCCAAAGCCAATTATTTGACTTCCAGGGATAGCTAAACTAATCCATGGGGAATTCTTCCCTTCCACTGGTGGTGCTAACAGCAAAACAGGTTTGTAAGTTTGATTTTACAACATGTTTTCACCTGGTCTTCATTCCAGCCCCTGGGCACAAATGCATTCATTGTGAGCAGAAGAAGAAAACCCTCTGTTTCTTTCTAGGTTATACAACACTGCCAAAAAAACCCCCACTAATATTTGTTGAGAATTTACTGTTTGCTAAGCAGTGATATTTTTACCTAATCATTTTAACAATTTTATAAACCAAGCCTCACACTTATTACTTATCCATATATAAACACATCATGCAGAGTCTCACACACACACACACACACACACACACACACAGCATCCACTATATAAAACTCTAGACACACCCAAAGAACATATCAACTTCTACAAAAATAATCAAAGCAGTAGTTGTAACATAGTATCAAGAACTAACGTTTGACTATTTGCTGTATCACACATATAAAGATTCATTTATTCATGGGGGAAATCCTAAAGGGTTGGTACTATTATTAGGTTCATTTCATAGATGAGAAAACCAAGGGGAAAGAGGTTGAATAACTCTTCTAAGATCTTACCAGCTGTAAGTGGTGGAGCCAGGATTCAAACCCAAATATCCTACAAGCCAGAAAACCTCCCCTATTGCTCTTGGCACCTCTGTAACTTCGTAAGATATTTTCCACCAAGTCATTTTGCTTTAGCATTAGTTCAAATGAACTTAACTTCTGTCTTTACTTAGCTCCCTTTCTAGTTTTCAACAGGCCATGGGGAATGGAAAAGCACAAAGCCCTTCTCCACTCTGGCACTCTCCTTTCTCAGCACTTTGGCACTAGCTGTTTTTCTTTTGGGAATTCTTCCTCCAGACAACTGCATAGCCAGCTCCCTCACTTCCAAGTCTTTACTTCAAATATAAGCTCTGTAAGGAAGAGGACCCTGATCACTCTGCCTCAAATTTCAATCTGCTCTTTCCTCCTACTTCCTGGGAACCCATTCCCTTTTATTCTTCTGTACTTTTTCCTTATCATTTATCTCCTGAGTTTATTGTAGCATTAACTCATTGTTATTACTTGTTGGCTTTTCCTAGCAGGTATGTTAATGAGAGTAGAAATCTTTTGACTGCTTTGCTCACTAAGGTAAACCTACCAAGTAGAGCAAGTCCTGGCCCCATAGTCAGTACTCAATAAATATTTACAAAATGAAAGAAAATAATTATGAAGCTTAGAGTTGAGCATAAGTATCAGGATTATGCAAGAAGACAGGTTGGCAGAGTTCCTCAAATTGCTAATGAGACTGTTCATCAAATGGCCTGATTTATGAATCTACATTTCAGCAGAGCTTCTGTGCATTTCCTTTGCAAATACCAGCTCCTCTTTTCAACTTACACTAAAATAAAACTCAATAGCCAAAGGAATAATAATACTATTATTCCTTTTTGGGCCATATTGGTTAACCATATATATTCCACCAATAAAGCTATGAAATTTAAATCTATGAGTGCACACACACTTTCATCCTAAAGGTTTCTTAAGGCTTCTTGCATTATGGGAATTTAGCCTGCTGGTATACCTCACTAGAGCCAGGGAAATCAACCTCACGTCTTTCACTACAGATATTTATATCCTGAGATTTGTCTACCAGGTTTTGTTGTTGTTTGTTTGTGTTTATTTTACAGTGTCTTGCCCATGTGATTAATGAGTTGTCCCCCAGAAAGCAAGGAGGTGTGTCTCCAGGATATGAGTGGTCTGGAGGAATGGGTGGAAAGGGGTTGATAGACTACAGAAAATACAGCGGCTTCCAGGCCTGTGTCACAGGCCTGATCATCCAGCTACTACTCAATTCTTTCATTGCAAGGGCCACCATAGGGCTCCTGGCCTTATCACCTATACCTGCCACGCTCTATCTCCCCAGCCCACTCCCTCCTGCCCCCAGAATTCTCATACTAAATGCGAGTATCATCTGCTCAGCACCTAGCCCCAAGCCTCTGCCTTGCTTCTCTGGATAATGTTTGAACTCTGCAGCCTAGCATCTAAGACAGTGTGACTCCACATCCCTCCCAGCAGTCTCCATTGCTCCTGACTCACTCCTAACTCTAGGCATCAAAGTCTTTCACAGACATACACTTGTCTATAGCCTTGCCTTCCGCTTTCTAATTCAAACATGAAGTTTCATTTAATACAAACTACCTATCACTAACACTTTATCCATCTCATTTCTACTTCCAAGTCTTTTGACCTCAAGCCATTAGTGATAAGAAGCTTTAAATGACACTTCCTCTATGACAAATTTGCTGACTGATTTACTTGATTAGGGTTGCTATAACAACCCTACAATAAAGTGGGTAGCTTATAAGCAAGAGAAATTTATTCTGGAGTTTGGAATTTCCAAGGTACCAGGAGATTCAGTGTTGGTGAGTACCTGTTCTCTAGCTAGTTTTTTGCTATAACTTTACAAGATAGGAGGAATGAGGGCTCCCTGTGGGAAGTTTTTAACATGGGTATTAATCCTCAGGACCTAATCATTTTCATAGGTCTTCACTCCAAATGACATCCCTTTGGTTAAGATTTCAACATAAAAACTTTTGGAGGAACACACAAATTCAGCCCATAGTAATAACCCTACCTATAGAATCAAACTTCTTCCTATTGTTCTCCATCCTCATTCTTGTATCACTGAATTTATACCATTTATGTGACATCTGTGACATTTGATTTGCATATATCCATACCATCTCATACTAATCTGTCAGCTCCTGGAGTTTGAGACTCCTGTAACATATTGTAGTAGCAAGTCCTAGTAGCCATTCAATAGAAAAATGAGTAAATCATTCAATTAATAAATGGCTGGACATTTTCTATAGAGCTTCAGAGAACAAAGTAAGAATGATGAATATAGCCTGGCATGTGAACAATAGAGTAAGAATGTTATTAAGCAAAGCAGTAGAGCTTCATCAGAGCACAATAGTGCTCTGATCTTGGCAGACATTCAAGAAAAGACCAGCATCTTCCTAGGGAAGAACCACCATTTTGTGGGAAGTTGTGAACACAGAAAGTTCCTTTTACCTTCCTATAATGTTCATGCTGATTGGCTATCACCACAGTTTGACTAAACTTCTTCTTCCTACCCTGAAGACAAATAAAAATAGTCAACCCAGATGCCCCTCAGTAGATGAATGGATCAAGAAAATGTGGTATATATACACAATGGAATTCTATGCCTCCATCAGAAAGAATGACATTACCCCATTTGTTAGGAAATGGAAAGACTTGGAAAAAATTATATTAAGTGAAGTAAGCCAAGCCCAAAGAAACATAGGTCCTATGGCTTCCCTTATTTGCAATTACTAGTATATGTCTGAGACAAGCAGAAAAGGTCAGATAAGTTGATGTTAGGTGAAATGAACCCCAAGATAAGTATTCAAATGTTTTTTCTTGCTATTGTTTCTAACAGATTTATAAGATGATTTCTTTGTTGCTTTGTAT